CTGCGCAACAATTGCAAAAAACGCTTGTTGTCACAGGGTTGTCTGTGTGTGTTTGTTCTTGTGTCGGTTGCATTTTGTGCGTAACTTGGGGTCCATAAATGCTAGGAAGCTGAACATTTAGATGAAGTCCGTTCCTCGGCCCTCGGCCACATGTTACCCCCAGATTTAATTTCAGCCATCCTCTGCCTCTGAGTTCTACGTATTACCCTGTGAAAGTTTTGGCGGGGAAAATTATTATTCTGGGAATTGCGAAAGATAAAAACCTGAACTTTTAGGACACTAAACCCACCCACGTGTGACCCAACAACTTATTTGCAACATTCCCTTGTCACTGAGTGCCATTTACAATTCCAGAAAGTTTTGACGGGGAAAATTATTATCTCAGGAAATACGAAAGCTAGGGAACTGAACTTTTAGGGTCATGACCCCTGCCCATGCGCAATCCTGCAAATTTAGTTTCAGCCTTCCCCTGCACCTGAGCATCACATGTGGCTCCGTGAAATTATCGCGGGAACCAGACGAGCCAGAACATTGAAGATTTCAGTGGGATGTTTTCTACCTATGCATGGGTCTCACAAATTGAAATTCAGTTCACACTATGTCGAGGTCTCACGTATGAAAAAGCAAAAGTTTTGATGTGAAAATCACTCGAAAACCAGAAAATTGGGCTATTGAACTTATAGAAGGATTTCACCATCCAAGGTTTAAAACTCAACTTTCAACATGCCAGTACGTGAAATTTTTAGCGGGGAGTTTTGCAGTTTAGAAACCAGATAACATTTCAACTATTTTTGCATGGATCAAAACGAAAAGCAGTGGAAGTTCTTGACAGGCGAACATTCGCTGAACGGAACTGCGCAAAACGCATGATCGCACCTAAGATCTCGGTGCGCGTCCCTATTTCGAGTTGGCGAAGTGCCACTTACAAACCTTGAGGTGAAGAGTGCGTGGCAGCTGAACTTGAAATCTTTAGCCTATACGTACACAGAGGATGTCCCAGAAAATCCCTACATTCTGTGCTTGCCGGTCTCCGAAATCGATGCTCTTCGAAAATTCA